TGTCAGTTTCTATCAAGATCGCCTGAGTGAATGTCTGGAGGTATAGGCACCTCATAATGATTGTGGTAAGCTAGCACTAAGTCCCTTCCCCGTCCACCATTACTCTTTTCTTTACAATAAGGCTTTCAAATAAATCATGGTTGTACGGCAGTGAAACATCAGTGTTTAACACTGATGTCATGCTGTCGATGATGATGATAATGATCCATGAGACCGGCTTTTAGAAATTTAAAACAACCTTGGAAATACTCCCGTTGGTATCGGTATCGTCAGACACAGCACCTCCGATAACACAGTGCACTTGGGCTATCCAGTCTTGGGATCCAGTCTCCTGACCCGAATTTGCAGCTCCGAGCAATTCACCATCCGAGATGGCAGATGATTTGGATAGATAACTTGGGGCAGATGATTTAGATAACTTGGAAATCCAAACTTTTGTCCAAAAGTATGCTCCAGTTGGTGACAATGACAAGTATGAACAACTTTATTCTTTCTAAGTAACATACTACTCACAAGGCTGCTGATAATTCCACGACCGGTTTCACCCATTTTGTGACTCATTAGATAGGTGCAGTGCTCGATTTTCCGTCAAACTTATGTCCTACTTTCATGAAATTCGACAAATGTATTGAATATGCTGCATCAGTTGTTGAATAACATCATAAAAGAGAAATTCAGCCAAGGTTCAGGTGAGCCTGCCGCAAAAACCAAACTGGTATGCAACTGGGGGCATCTGTTGAACTCCGTCCTCAGTTTAGACATTAGTTCAGGCAACGTAAGGTGGAACCCTAAAGCTGATCAGCCTGAGAGTGTCGGCTACCAGGAAAGTAAATGGCATCGGATCCCCAGATAAACAACCTCGAAACTGATCTGACGCCGGTTGGGTGCGTTTTATCACTTTATAAGGGTTCACTTACGGACCTAATTTTTCCGCAATTCACAAATAGTTAATGCCCAAATCCCACTGGCTTATTCCAAAACTGGCATCCATCTGACCAATACCGATCAATACCAAAGAGGGGACTTTATGCAAAAGCGTGTCTGGGCTTATCCCATGTTCGACATTGTACTGCACGCATCGAAACACTCTATTCAATCTGGTGAAGGTGTGATTTATTCGGTTTCTGTAGCTTTCTGTACCAAAGTATCGGCCTCTTTATGACAACGTGTATTGACCCCCTGACTTGCAGCCTATGTGGTACTGGAAACGGGAATTAGTATCTAGTCCTGTATGAGGAAAACAACTCAAACGTGGTGATCCAATGTGACGAATACACAGAGGTGCTCGTCTCACCTCAAGGTGAGACGAACAACGGATCAACAGTAGAGGACCTTAGATGTGGCTCACGACCGTGCATTATGGTGAAATGCGCAGCCTTTTGGGAACCAAACGGAACTAACCTCAGTGGTTGGCGTCCAAAATGCTCTTTTCCACCGGGATTACCACACGAATCGACTAGCGTTTACCTTGAAGGCATCCTACCTGAGAAGCGGACTGAATGTAGAGTTTATGCCCAAATTTTGCCGTGCTAAATTGACCTACAATGAACTTTTAGAACTTGGAACCAAGGAGTTTCAGGAGCTTGATCTAATGCGGTTTAGGGAGAGCATCCAACAACAGAATAATCCATTCCACGCAAAATAGCATGGGTGGTACATGACGATGGGTATTCATTCTCACCATCGATATTCAAGCCTAACCCTCTGTGGCAGGCACCTTTTGTGGGTACGTGCGAGTCGTGGCTGTGCTAGAGCTTACTGGGTCTTCACGAGACTTACAGGGAATCCACTTGAATCACTCGTTCATGAT